CTGTATCTGTGTCTTTTCTTATAAGAACACCAGTCATATTGGATTAGGGCTCTACCTTACTGACCACGTTAGATAGGACAAAAGTCTCAAGGTCTGGGCAGTTTTTACCAAATACTATTCTTGCTAAATGTTAAAATGTAGCACAGTATTTTTCAGACTCAGCTGTAAACAGGATGAGCTTGATAGGAACCCAACCTGGTTAGAGCAGGCAACTAAATTAACCAAATCAGGATAAGTGTAGCCAACTGTAAAAGATGAAATCAACATGTCATTAATCAAATAGTCTATATAAGCAAGACTAAGCCTCCCTTGGGGAGGCAGAGCTTTGAATGTGAATCCTCTGTCTCCTTTACTTGCTGCAAGTAAGTAGAATTACCTAACAACGACTACGTCTTGTTCTTGAATGGAGCGCCCCAAGCGGCAACCCCCTTGAGTTCAGTAACAACCTCATCTAAACTTGATTACATCTGCAAAGACTATTTCCAAAAGAGGTCTCATTCACAAGTACAAAGGGTTAGGACTTAGATGTCCTACCTTTTTGGGGGATACATATAACCCATAACAGTAAGGTGATTGACTCTGATGCCCTGGAGGAGGTTGAGCTGTGGCCACAATGGGGCAGGAGGAATGTGTGTAGTCCAGGTGACCCTCAGGGCATACCATGCCTCTTTGCCCTATTTTGATGATAAGTGGACAAGTGTAGGAGGCAAGGCCTTCGAAGGGCTTGGGACCCAGGAATTAGATCTCTGTGGGGTGAGAGTCAGGGCCGTGCCAGCAGAGGTGGTGGCCGAGGGTGAAGAAAATCTGGAATACATAGTGGGCACCCCTGCAGAGGCAGGGGCTGTTGTCTATCCATTAGCCCTTCTCTTCTGACTTTCCCCAGGATGAGCAACCTGCTGGAAGCCTGGAGGAGCTGCTTCCAGGACGTAAATGGAGAAATGATGACACATGGCCCAAAGGGTGGACTGTGTGGATGCTTCGATGTGTCAGGCAGCTTCTCTTTCAAGAATGAGGACTTATCCTCCAGCAGATAACCCTTAACCGTCAACCCTTCTGGGAATTAAGTCATTTTCCTTTGGCATTTTGAGAGTATGGCTGTGCCGCCCCCTAGTTTTCAGTTTGTTGAGGCTTTGGGCAGCTGTTCTTATTAAACACCCCTCTGAAAGCTAGTTCCCAAGCTGAGTCCCAGATATTTATTTTTCTGTACAGCTGTCTCATGCTCACCTGGTAGCAGGGAAAGCAGCTGGAGTGGCATGGCTCCATGAAGCATTCACTAGCGGGCTAACTTCAGCACACTTTTTTTGGGGGGAGGGTGTCAAGAGAACAGGAAAGCCCATTTCTTTGTTTTTTTTTTTTTTAAATTTTTATTTTGCAAGAAATTTCCTTGAATTGATTTTCCATCTCTTCTATTGAATATTTAATCTCCAAGGGCACTTGGCTACCTATTCGATATTAAAAAAAAACAACTGTGTAATTTTTGTTTCACAAATGCAGTATCTTTTCCTATCTCCCTGAAAAATTCTTCATATTTCATATTCTCTCCACCTTAATTGAATAGCCTTGATAACTTTTTTCGATTGTTTTGACTTGGTTTCTAACTTTCCAATTCAATGTTTCCCTGGTGAGCTCCTACTGTTTTTTTTATATTTAAGAACAAATCTCTAGGTTTGGGGGTAGCTTGTGCCAAAAATTGCCACCATAATCATGTATACTAATGGACAAGAACACCTGTGTTTAATAACACTTCAAATATGAGTGAGGTTCTCAAATGCTGATTCAAATCTGTCAGCCTGGTTGGGCCGGTGGACTATTTGGTTTTATTCTAAGATGATTGGGTGAGAAACTGGACTTCCCAGATGCCATTCCTATGTTTATTGGTCTTTTCTGGGATCAACGTTTCTCTAGAGACAGATCCTTCAGCCTCCTCTTGGGGGTGTGATGCTGACTGCATGTGGGAAAGGAGGGCCCAGGTCCCGCTCATGGGCAGAATTTCCCTCAGTCCTTCTGCTTCCAGCCTCATGCCTCTCCTTCCCCTTCCTCTGTGCTGGCTCGTCCTAAGCCATGAGTCTCTGGTTTGCTTTCTTCAGAGAATAGATCTGGGCCTGTTTCCTGGGGCAGGTAGATAGGGCAGTCAACTGATCATCCAGCCTGAGGAGACTCTGAGCTGTGAGTTCAGACTTTCAACAACCTCCCTGTTCACTGACCCTGTCAATATCACCTTTTCAGCGCCTGCCAAGATCTGAGGTGCCTGAATCTTTCAGGGATAAAGTGGCTCCATCTCCATGTGTCCTACTAGCAGAGTAAGGTAGTTATTTTTTATTTTTAAAATTTTTTAAATTAAATTAAAATTTTTTTTAAATGCTTATAGCACGTGGTCTTCCTAGGTGGTCTCCCTAGTAATAACCAGGCCCGCCCCTGCTTATCTCCCGAGATCAGACGAGATTGGGCTTGTTCAGAGTGGCATGGCCGTAGACAGGAAGGCGGTTTTAAACCAAGTACCAGAAGAGTGAGTTGCACTCCTCCCCATCCCTTACTTCTTCATCTCCTCCACCCGGTTCTCGATTGTCTGTCATTGATGCTATCTCCTTCTTTCTTTGCTCTGAGTTGATGCCATTTATTTGTCCTCTGCTACGCTATTCCCTGTGGCTGGGGTTTAGGAAGATGGGCACGTAGGCCCGACTATTCAACCCACCCTGCTTCGCCGGAAGGCTACCTGGTTTCCGTTTTGACTTTATGATACCAGCTGCTTAGCTCGCCCCACACTCTGCTCTGTGGCTTCCTGGGACATCCTCACCTGTGTTTTCCTCCAGACAAACTAGGGGATCACTTTGAATGTTCATTAAAATGATCAGATTTGCCTGCAGTTCATGATCCATTGGGGTTTTTGAAGCGTTGATATTTGATGATGTCTCTATTCAGCAACATTGAATGACATTTTATTTCATGTTATTTTCCTTCTCAGGAGAGTGTTGAGATTGTCACGAACTCTGGAACATTCCTTGTGGAGGTCGTTCTTAGCTACTCTCGATAGGAATGTATGGATGCTGCTGTGAAATGAGTCTTTACCATTATGGCATCTCATTATTTATCATTTATTAAAAACAAGTTTCTTCTTCTTCTTCCTCTCCTTATTCATGTTTAAGACATCTAGACACCCTGGGAAACTTAATCTTAAAACTTTCAGTTGAGCCTTTGGCTTTTCTGGGAAGAAAATCATATTATCTGCCAATAATAACCATGAGACTTTTCCCCAAGACCCTCAAATCTCTTGTTTCTGTTTTTTGGTAGATGTGCTCATCATTTTCAAACACTGTCTTTGTCCCCAGGGACTTCTCAGAACCAATGTCTGTCATCAACCCCATCTATCTCCAGGTCTGGCCCAGCTAGTTATCTCCTGGCCTGGGGCTGGGGCACAGGAAGTCTGGGTCTAGCATCAGTTGGGGCCTGCGGCTTCTCACTGACACTTCTGTGACTCGTCTTCTGTCAACTGGGCCCTGAGAACAAGCCTTACACTCACATCCACTGTCCAGACCAGCGAAGAGGAGGAAGGGAATGAAGCCCCCGTTCCCACCCGGAGGTCTTGCCCTTGGGCTTGCAGGACTTACTGGATCTGTGAGCCCAGCCCCTCCCCGTCTGGATGCTCACTCTCCACTTCCTGATGGGGTCCCCTGGCTATGTTGGATCATGGTTGTTTCCTATAGAGACCTGAGTGTCTCCTGGGGATTCTGAGTGCCCCCAGAGTAACCAGGATGTTAGCGAGGATGACAGCAACTCTGCCTCGCAAGAGGGAATGGCAGATTTCTAGAGATCTGAGTTCATCTGAGTGCTGTTAGCAGCACCTCTTGACAGCCTACTCGCCTGGTTCACTGGGGACAGGGTGGTGGTCTAGGAGCATGAGGACCCCTCCTGCTCCCTTTGCTTCTCCTCTCAAACCATTGTCTGGTCCTATCCCACGCTGGGTGGAAAATGATTCCCAGAATATCACAGGACGGAAAAGTCTGTCTCTGGCTGGGTGGCCTCTGCCTGGGGCTAGAGTCTGGGGACAGGGCTCCATCCAGAAAGCAGGAGATGTGACAGGGGAGCTTGAATCCAGCGCTGTAGGGGATGGCACTCGGGCTCTGAGGAATGTGCAGAAGCCACCCCTGGGGTGTGAAGAGAGGTGATGGGAACTAGCATTAAACTGGCACCTCTCTCATCCTTTGCTATGCATTTTGACAATGTTTGATCATGCGCATGATTTATTATGACAGTTGAGCAAATGTACATGGGTCTCCTGGGGAAGCAGGAGGCTTCCGCACAGACTGGGGGCTTCAAACAACAGAAATTTATTCTTTCTCAGTGCTGGAGGTCAGAAGTCTAAAGTCAAGGTGTCAGCAGGTCCCCAAAGGCTCCAGGGAAGGATCCTTCTTGCCTTTTCCAACTTCTGGTGTTGCTGATAAACTTTGGCTCCAGGTCCAGTGAGTCTGTCTTTTTCCAAGGACAATGTGTGCCTCAAAAGTAGAAGGGGAACGTTGGAAATGTGGGGCCTGGTGCTTTCTTGTCGCCCAGCTCTTGGCTCAGGTGCAAGCCCCTGTCCTCCATTCCATTCATGCATGCCCTTTCTCTGTTTTGTTTCAGAGCATCTTATTTTTTTTTAAATTTTCCACATGCATACTGTCGATTTCGCTACTGATCTACCTCCAGCACCGAGTTCTCTGCTGGGCTCAGAGAAGACACTGAATATTTTTTATTTGACAGATAGCCTGCTGGTCATCATTGGTCCTACTGAAGGAATAAGCCCCGCCTCCTCCTATGCCCCACCCCAGAGGACGGCTGGCTTCCCCCTTGCCTAGTTTCCGGGCTGGGAAGATAAAGGGGCTCAGAGGGGTCCAGGAGCAGAGGGCAGAGGGACCTGGCATGGTGAGGATGCTGTTCAGACCCCATCCTCTATTCCTAGTCCCCAGGGTCCCTGCCGCAGCTCTCCTCACCCTGGCCCTCCCCTATTCCCCTATCCCCTGCAGATGCTGTGGCTGCTGTTCCTTTCTCTTCCCTGCCTAGAGGGTTCTGTTCCTGTGACCCCAGGTGAGTCCTGACCTCCAAGGCTGTCCTGTCTCCAAAACCCTGACCCTGATCTCTCAGAGGCCAGCCCTGGGATGCAGTGGTGACCCCTACATGAGAGTGGCCCTGGGGAGGGACTGAGCATGAGGGCCATGCTGAGCTCTGGGCAGGGGTGCCTGGGTCTCTGACGGTTCTTCCTCTGCTTCCCCAGATCTTGACCCAGGGACTGAGCTTGTGGGCATCATCGGGGGGCATGATGCCCCACCTGGGAAGTGGCCATGGCAGGTGGGCCTGTGGGTCAACCTAATAGGTAACCGATGGAAGCTGTATTGTGGGGGCTCCCTCATCCACCCACAGTGGGTGCTGACTGCTGCCCACTGCATTCGAGGGTAAGTCCTCACCCTGCTGGCATGGAGTGGGAGGTGAACAGTGTTGGGAGGCATGTGATATGTGCTGTGGGCAGTTCCTGGACTTGGTAGCTGGAGACTCCCTGCAGGATTCAGCCGCCTGGAGTTACCTTGCCTTCTGAAGAAAAACTGGCTTACTTCTTGTTCCTCTGCCATGGCCTCTGAGAAGCTTCTGGTCTTCTATCCCCCAGGAGAAACTCAGCGCCTTTTAACTTTAAGGTCCAAGTAGGACGAGTGCGATCCTCGGACAATCACACTGTGAAGGTGGCTAAGGTCATCTGCCATCCCAAGTACAACGTTTCACAGGAAGCATCTGGTGGAGCGGATGTGGCACTTCTCAAACTGGTGGCTCCCGTGACACTGTCTAACCTAGTCAAGTGGGTAGCCCTCCCACCAGCATCATTCACGGTACCCCCAGGCAGGAGGTGCTGGGTGACTGGCTGGGGTGACATCAATTCCTCAGGTAAGGATCAGGACGATGAGTTTGGGGGAAGATGCAGTGGAGTGTTGGCCAAGCTTTATAGATGAGGCATCAGCTGGGGTTCCTCTTGGGGTCTCCTTTGGGTGTGGGAGGTGAGTGGCTCAAGAGGACTTGGTTAAGGAGCAGAGACCAGAGCAACAAGAGCGAAGCCAGACCATGAGCTTTTCTTTGCCTTTACTCTGCACCATGCCCTGCCTGAGCCTTTATGTGGACCCTCTGTTTTTGTGGATCTCCCATTCTCCATGTGGTCTTGATGGTGGGATGGAAAACGAAGCAAGAGAACTTGAGCAACTTGCTCAAGGATCCACTATTAAATGGACAAAGTCAAATTTGACACCAGCATCTGCACTTCTTGGGGGAAAGAATTTGCTCTGGGTTTTCCAGATAAAAATATCTGGGGGTAAAATATTCAATTCCTCCATTTCTCTTCTGAGCTTGGTACTCACACTATCAGCCTGGAATGAACCTAGAGATTCAGAGTCTTGGGTAACCCAAAAGGTACCTCTGGGGGCACTGAGGCTCAGCATGTGGTTTAGAGCACATGACTTGTGACTGTCTGCCTGCTCAGGACCAAAGGTTCACATGACTTCTTTCCACAGTGCCGTTGCCCCCTCCCTACCATCTGCAGGAGGTGGAGGTCCCAATTAGGGCGGATGAGTTCTGTAGGCGGCAATACCGCAAGATCAACCGGTTTATCAAGGATGATATGCTGTGTGCAGGGAGCAAGGGCCAGGATTCCTGCCAGGTGAGACCTTCTCAGACCATGGCCTCTGTCCATCACTCCTGCTTGCAGGGACCCTGATTATTGATCATCTGTCTATTCTCTCCACAGGGAGACTCTGGGGGCCCCCTGGTCTGTAACTGGAGGGGCACCTGGTTCCAGGTGGGAGTGGTGAGTTGGGGGAAGGGATGTGGTCTTTCCAACTTCCCCGGAGTCTACACCCGAGTGACATACTACTTGTCCTGGATCTACCACTATGTCCACTCCTCTCCTCGAGCTATGGGCAGAAACAAGGATGCTGTCAGCATGAGTTGAAGACCAGCCCTCCAGGGTGTTTGGGGGACCTTTACTACTCCTTCCCCAAGGCCAGCTTTTCATTGCACCTAGTGTCCTCCTCCATTTCCCTGCTCTGAGACTCTCCTGCCCCTAAGACCTCCCTCAGCATCTTGTCTCTTCCTTGACAGCCATAAAAGAGAGGAGGTACTGTGCCCTGAAGTGGGGCCGGGGTGGGAGGAGCATTCCAGGACCCCTGCCTCCTGACTGTTCTCTGTAGCTCATTAAACTGCATGAAAAGCAGGCTCTAGACTGAGTGTACTTACTTATGGGTGTGGCCAAAGAAGCTTGTGGGTGGGATCTTTCTGGTGGGGATACCCATACCCAGGCTATGGAAGGTGTGTAGCGGAGGCATGGGCAACTGTGACTGCAGCCTGGCAGAGGGCAGGTGGGTGCATTCTCTTGGCTAGGGTGGAGGATGCATTTTCTGCCTCGGGTTTGAAACCAGGGCATGGAAGACTGCTCCAAGGACTGTACTGTTTCAGGCCTAGGACTCCCTGCCCTTCATCCTTCCTCCTCCAATTGCAATCAGTATGTAACTGATATTTTAAATAACTCGGACTTGGCAGCGTAAAAGCAGAAAGCATTGTTTTTCGTTGTCGCCACTGCTCTTTCTGACCAGTGTGCCTAATTCTCTTTTTCCAATTTGACCAACTTCTTGAGCTGATCAAAGATGTGATGGAATGTCCATCTGCTCCAACATAGAACTTCAATCTCTCATTCTGAGCAGCTCATGACAAGGCAGAACCTGCAGGGGGCTGGAGACAAGTCCAGTTTCCCCTTCTTCCTTTCCTAAGTTCTCCCGCTCTCTCTGCTCCTGGGTCATTGATTGGAGGCAGCCAGAGAGGAGAGATGAAGAGGCAGAACTTCTTCCTCCACTGATATCATTCTCCCAGTGTTGGCGTCCTCTGCTGGAGGAGGACTGTGTGGCATAGTCCTCTAAATCCTCTGCAAAGCTCATCAGTTCTTCCAGTGGGTGGGAAGGGCCTCCAGTGAACCTGCAAAGCTTCTCTGTTTTGAATCCAGGAAGTGAGAAGTCAGTTCTGAAGGCCGCCCCCTATCCTGAGGCAGTGATGTGTTCGTTCACTGTTCACCGTGCATTAAGATTTGGGAGGAATTGTTGGTGCATGGCTGGGATGGGCTCCTGCACCTGCAGATTGAGGCCAGGACACACAGGAGCCCTTTGTGCCTGATGCAGCTTTGTATTGTGGATGAGGGGGCTCCACACCCTTCAGAGACAGGCTGGTCTCTGCAGTCTGCTTTCTGGGATGTGAAAAATCTTTCAGATCTTTAAGGGACCACGTCTCCCTGAGACAAGGGGGAGAGCAGTCCTCTCCTCTGCCTGTGACCTGCGTGCCTGGGGGGAGATTTAGATGAAGCTCCAAGTCAGTGGCTATGGAGCCGCTTCCCCCATGTGCCCAGGGACTGAAGTCTGGATTTCCTGGGAGCCAGGAGCTCTCTAGGAAGACCTTTTACTGGGAAAATGAGGCCTGAGACTCAGCTGGAATGTACCACTCTGCAGATGGCCCTCCTTGGGGGTCTGCTTGGCCCAGGGATTAAGGAGGGGGCTGACATAAACCCAGTCTAGAGATACCCCTCTCAGTAATCCAGGCACATGTTCTACGGGAGTGCCTGCCCTGTCAATGGGGCCATGTTAACGGGGGATGCCAGGTGACTACTCAGGAATCCATGTAGATCTAGTTTACCTTCTGCCTGCCAGAATGGGTGCTGGTATGCTTGCCTTGCAACTGGGTTCTGTGGGATTACAAATCCCTTTGTAGCCGGTGAAACGGTTTTCCTCCACTGATGAGGGATGTAGTCAAAACTTTAGTGTTTTCAGGATTAAGAATGAGGGTCTGAGAGACCCAGGGACCAGGGCTCCCAAGAGAGGGAGAAGGGTCCTAGGATCTGGTGTTGGAAGGAGGGCTGGGCCTTTGGGGCAATTGGCTGTTTGGGGGCAGAATTGGATGACTGAGGGGGCAGTGCTGAATTGATTGAGCAGGCCTAAGAGAGAAGTGCTTGGGACTAAGAAAGGTGGGGACCCCTTACCCAAGGAGACAAGAAGCCTGAACCTGGGGCTGTGTCCATAGGCATGGCTGCAGGGTAGACCCTGGGACTCTCCCTCCTGAGATTGGGCACAGGGCTCCTGCCCTCTTACCTTGGTTGGAATCACTGCCAGAGCACCTCCATCTCCTGGGCTCAGCCAAGATGCAAGGTGGGCTGGGCCAGGATGCCCAGGTGGAGATGGAGCAGGGGAATGGGCATGTTGCCTCTGGTCTCTGAGATGTCTTATGACTGAACCCTGGGCCAGCAGATGTGGGTGGTGGGGGGAGCTGAGCCAGGGCCAAGTCAGTGCCCATGGGGACTCTGGAGTGGGACCTCTTCCCCTTCTCTGGGGTGAGCAAAAGACACCTTCCTGGCTTCTAAAGAAGATTCTATCCAGCTTCTAAAGAAGATTATATCTAGGTCCACGCCTTTCCTTTGAGGTGGAAAAACACACCTCGGAGTCACTATCATGCTTTCTCACCTTGCTAGTGTCCTGGGGCCATTGTAACAAAGGCCCACAGACTAGGTGCGGGGAAACTTAAAACAAAAGAAATTCATCTTCTTACAGTCTGGAGGCCAGAAGTCGGAAATCGAGGTGTCACGGGGCCAAGCCCACTCTGAGGTTCTGGTGGGGAGGATCCTTCTTTCCTCTTCCAGCTTCTGCTTGTCACACAGCCACTTCCTCTGTGTCTCTCTGTGTCCTCACTCCTTCTTACAAGGGCACTTGTCATTGGATTTAGGGTCCGCCCTACTTCAATCTGACCTCGTCTTAACTAACTACATCTGCAACGACCCTGTTTCCAAATAAGGTCAGTTTCCGAGGTTTCGGCTCTCACTGGTCCACATCGATCTGATCTGCCGCATTGGTGAGAGTATGTGCTAATCAGGCTGTGTGCTCCCAGGAAGGGGAGATCAATCCTGGCAATATTTACTTGCCACATTAAATATTTAGGGGTCCCACCGTCCAGCACATAGGGGCACCTCCTTCAAAATAACAAACCTACGATGATATTTGCACCTCTCACACGCTCCATGCCTCAGAGTGCTGCTCCAGCCTGTGCAGCTGGTGACATGAAAGGCTGCCAGTTCTGAGTGGTTCCCAGTGCTAGAATGGGCTCTGCTGCAGGTCCAGGCCGTCTCTTGCACCACAGGACCCAGCAGACACGATGGAGTTAAAGGTATTCGTGGTGGGCAAGCTCCAGGGTGGGGAGTGCCAACGAAGGCCCACACCACCTGCATCGAGAAATATTATTGAGATGTAAGTTACATCTTGCGCCTGGGCACATTGAGTTCCTTGTGTCTAGAGGCTAGTGAGCAAGAAGTGCCCCTCTCTTGGTAGGGACAATGACATTGACCACCAGGAAGAGGAAAGGCTGCTGTGTCACAATGGGGGCAGGAGAGATGAGAGGCACTTGCTTGTCTCTTGGTACTCCCTCATCAATTGTGATGGCCTGAGAACCACCCAGCCTGAGAACTCCATGTGATCAGACAGAGCTCAGCCCTCAGGGATGGGGATCTGGGTCTTGCCACCAGGTGAGTGCCAGAGTCCACAGGTAGTAGCCAAGGGAGGACATAGAAATAGATAGTGAAGGGGGGCCTGTTGGCCTCGTTTGTACCCTGAGCCTCTCTTTCTGAGCTCTCCTGGGTAGAGAGATCCTTTGTAGTCCTCCAGCAGCTGTCCCCAGCACATGAGGCAGAGGAGGGTAGGCCGTGCTGGACACAGAGATGGGCCTCTAGGTCCCCCTTCGGGGTAGGACTTGCTGACCAGCATCTGGGAGGGCCAGAAGCTCTTTACGGCTGCCTCACCCCATCGTGTCCCTCTTGGCTAATCCAAGAGATTGTAAGGGCTGGCGTTTTGTTCCAGTGAGGGCTAGGGCTGCGGACACTGCGTCTCCCCGTGGGTCGGTCAAGGTGTTGTCAGCTCTGCATTATGCTCTGGCCTTTCCCTCTGCTCAGCTTTGTTTCATCCACCTGCCATCCAAAAACCTCTCCCCAGTTTGTACCCTGCATGTCATACACTGTCTCAGTACCAGTTTCCGGAGAGTTCAGCTTTTAGAGCAAACAGTGTGCTGTGTCTCTCAGCTGGTGGCAGTGAGGGTAGCCATAGGCCACATGCCAGTTAGATGGCGGCAGTGAGGGTGGCAGCCTATAATATTCTAGTCCAATGGTGGCAGTGAAGGTGCTGGCTTTCAATGCTCTCGTCAGAGGGTGGCATGCTCCAGGCCGCCTCACAGAGTTCAGTGGGTTCAGGGGGCTTCCCTGTGGCTAGAGTGGCCTGACACCTGGTGTCTGCTGCCCGCCTCATCCCACCGACTTGGGCCCGGGGCACCAGAGCTTCTTCTAGCAAACCTGCATCCTCTCTACACATTCGCTTCCACCGGCCTGCTTGTGTTTTGCAGCTGAGATCCTTGCAGCCAGGGTGTGGCTGTTGACAGGTGATAGCCTGGCGGCAGGTCTGGTGGGAAGCAGGGCAAGGGCCCAGCAGGAGCTCTTCAGTGCCTGTTGATCAACTTACCAACCTCAGGACCTGAGAAAGGAGAAGCTTCACTTCCTGTGCTGGTGGATAAAAGGACTCAGAGAGGCCGGAGAGGAGTGGGAGGAGCATCCCATCAAGGTGAGGATGCTCTTGCTCAGACCCTGCTTTCTCCATCCCCACCCTAGGGTCCTGGCCCCTGGTGGCCTTACCCAAGCCCCCACCTATCCCCGCAGATGCTGTGGCTGCTGTTCCTGACTCTCCCAGGCCTGGGGGGTTCTGTGCCTTTGTTCCCGGGTGAGTCCTGACTCCCCATCTCCATCTTCTGCCTCAGGCTGCTCAGACCCTCAGCACCAGCTCAGGGTGGGATTGATAGATCCACTCCTGGGAGGGACTAAGTGTGAGAAGCCATGCTGGAGTCTATGATAGCACTCCCTCTTTGCTTCCCAGATCCTGACCCAGAGAGGGAGAGGGGTGGCATTGTGGGGACACACAATGCCCCTACTGGGCGGTGGCCATGGCAGGTTAGTATCCGAAGATACAATAAGGAGCTTGAGCTGTGGCAGCACGTATGCGGGGGCTCCCTCATCCACCACCAGTGGGTGCTGACCGCTGCCCACTGCACCCAGCGGTGAGTCATAGAGCCCCATGCCCTTTTGACTGGGAGAATGGGGGCAAGGAACACAGAGAGGTGACAGGAAGTGTATTGTGGGCAGGAGTCTGAGTCCAGGGAAAGCTATTATTCTGTTAGTAGCCAGCTCAATTCTTGCTGTTGTGCCAAGCCTAGTCCTGTGCCTTGGTTTCCTCTGAGAAGCTCCTGGTCTCTCTCCTCCAGGGAGGACTTGGAGGCTTGTGGCTTCAGGGTCCAAGTTGGGCAACTGAGACTCTATGATCAAGACAAACTGACAAAGGTGACTCAGATCATCTGCCACCCCAAGTTCAACCAGAGCCTGTCTGCTGAGGGTGGTGCAGACATTGCCCTGCTGAAACTGGAGGCCCCTGTGACACTCTCTGAGCATGTCAACCTGGTCACCCTCCCACCTGCCTCTCTAACAGTCCCTGTGAGGACGATGTGCTGGGTGACTGGCTGGGGTTACCTCAGACTTGGAGGTAAGGACACTTGTTGGGGTGTGTGGAGATGCTGGGTGGCCCTCTAGATGTATGGTTGTGGCTTTGCTGAAAATGCTGTATTCTCTGCAATTTGGGAGAATCTTTCACCTTCTTATTATGGTAAAGTATACATGACAAAATTTTTACCATTTTAACCATTGTTAGGTATACAAGTTAGCGGTGTTAAGTACATTCACCATGTTGTGCAACCATCACCACCATCCATCTCCAGAACTTTTTCATCTTCCCAAATAGAAGTTTTGTCCCCATTAAACACTAACTCTTCATTCCCCCGGCCTCTGGCAACCATGAACCTACTTTCCATCTTTATGGATTTACCTATTCTAGACATTTCATATAAATGCAATCATACAATGTGTGTTTTTTTGTGTGTCTGACTTCTTTCACTTAGCGTGGTGTTTTTAGGGTTCATTCACCTTATAACATGTGTCAGAACTTTATTCCTTTTTATGGCTGAATAATATTCCACTGTACAGATGGAATATTCTGTTTATCGATTCCTGAATTGATAGACTGTTTCCACCTTTTGGCTGTTGTGAATCATGCTGCTGTAAACCTGTGTGTACAAGCACCTGTTAGAGTACTTGTTTTCAATTCTTTGTGCCATATGCTAGGAGTGGAATTTCTGGGTCATGTGCTAATTCTATATTTGATTTTTGAGGGGGAATTCTCTTGTGAGCCTGAATGTTTGCAGGGCTGGGATTTCATGGTCAGGTTCATGGACACTGGGGACACGGGGCGTTTGTTCTCTGCCAGGCAGACAGGCCCTCCCATGACTCTCCCTGGGACCTCCCTATGCTGAGGTGGGTGTTTGGACCTCGATTGTCCTTCTGAAGATGAGTAAACCCAGGAGTGAAAAGCTGGGGTCTGCCACAATCTCACAGTGTGCAGGTCCCTGAATCAGAATGGGAACCTAAACTCATCAGCTTAGAATAGTTTACTCCCTGTTGTAATGCATTCGTTTGGGGGTGGGTCCTTGATCCATTCCTTTTCCAGGAAAAAAATTCTTGGGAGAACAATGTCTCCTTGGTGCCTATCCTCAGGCATGAGAATCTCAGGCTTTGGCCAACGAAGTCCTGCATCCTGGAACCAAATGGGTTTAGTGGGTGTACGGAAGCTGAGTTCCAGTATTAGGCGTAGCTGGTGTAGATGCCAGGGTCAGGGCCCACAGAGGGGCTCCCTGTGCCCTCCACTGATGACAGCGAGAATGGAAAGAGTATCTGTGTTGTTGGGAAGAAGCAGGAGCCCAGACCAGCCCCGATCCTCAGCCAGCCCCTCCCCACAGTGCCGCTGCCCCCACCCTACCAGCTGCAGGAGGTGGTGGTCCCCATTGTGGGGAATGAAGTCTGTGACCGGCATTACCAGAACTCTTCAAACTACATCGGCCTGATCATCAAGGACGACATGCTGTGTGCTGGGAGTGAGGGCCAGGATTCCTGCCAGGTGAGACCTCTGGCCTGCCACCTGTCCTCTGTCCCCTTCTGGCCCATGGAATGAGACTCAGAAGCTCCATTGCAGTGGCACCTCTGAGTCCTGCCTCTCCCCACAGGGTGACTCTGGGGGCCCACTGGTGTGTAGCTGGAATTGCACCTGGGTCCAGGTAGGGGTCGTGAGCTGGGGAGATATCTGTGGTCATCGTGACTTCCCTGGGGTGTATACCCGAGTGATGAGCTACGTGTCCTGGATCTGGCAGTATGTCCCTCTTTCCCCTGGACCCTAGATGGGGCCCAGGTGGGGTTCACATGATGATAAGACCCCCCATAATTCTTTTTGACACCTCTGTTTCTTTCTCAATTTCAGGCTTGTCCTCCCAAACCTCCTCACCCTTCACCTCTCATTCCATAGTGCTAAGGCCCTCCTCCTCTCTTGGCCTGTCAGTTTCCCTGACCTTCAGGTGAGATAGAAAGATGCTCTAAAGGCTGATGTCTCTCACGGTGGGGTGGACCAGGGGTAAGAGGCTGGGTCCATGGTCTCCTGCTTACCCTCTGTTTCCTATTAAACTTGGAAAAGCTAGCTTCAGAGTGTGGCTTGGGATAATGGCATGGACTCACAGTGATCTTGGCCGAGGGAGCAGTGGGAGCCTCCCTGAGGGGTCTCTGGGCTCCAGGTCTCCATGACTGGGGGTGGGGAGGTTTTCTGGCTATCATTCCATGTGATGGCATTTCTGGGGGCTCAGGTCCTTGCCCCAGGGTCCCTCCTTTCCCATCCCTCCCTCCCTCACTCCTCCCTTCCTCTTTCTCTTCACTTTTCTTTTTTTCTTTTTCCTCTCCTCCCTCCGTTCCCCTTCTTTCTATTTCTCTTCCCTGATATTCTCTATTCTTCTTCCTCACTCATTCCCTACCTTTCTCTTCCCCTTTCCCTCCTTCAATTTCCTTTATCAAATGTTCTCAGTGTAAGCAAGGTCTTGGGAATAAGGAGTTCACCGAGGTGGTTCCTGGGCTCCTAGAGCCCACAGGGAGGTGAGGACAGACATACACATGCAGCTGCAGTGAGTGTGGGATGTGGTATGGAGGTGAATACTGTAACAAAGCTGGAATAACACAGGATGTGGTCCTGCCAGCTTACACCTGTTGGAGAGAGTTTGACGGGCTGGGAAGCCAGGCCTGGCTCATGAAGCATGAGCAGGATGAGGAGGAGGAGGAGGGTGCTCCAGGCAGGGAGACAGAGGTGGTGGGGACAGAGGGGTGAGCTTGGAATGAATGTGAGGGGTTAGAGGGTGAAGGGGCGGAAGGCTATGCTCAGAATGTGTTTGAATGTTGGCTTGTTCAGTTTTCAACATTAACACATCAGAAAAAAAAAAAGCCCATAAAATATGAAGGAATAATTAAGGTTCTGGTCGGATAGTTTGAGAGCCTCCAACTTCAGAGGCTTCTTAGAGATCCAGAACCCCTTATTAGAAATTCAAAAAACTGGAAAAACTAACAATAGCATTTGTACATAGATATCCAAGAATTTTCCAGAATCAAAGAAAAATGGGAATCCTCGGTTGAAATGCCTTGTTAATATTCAGCAGAATAAATACAAATGAATCCTATACCAAAGCCCATTTTAGTAAAACTATAAAATATTAAAAGCCAGAAGAGACAAATGAAAGTTTAACTGAAAAAGAAATAACTATCAGACTCAGCAGACTTATGATCAGCAACAATAGATAGTAGAAGCTGGAGCAATATCGTTTAAGTGGTGAGGAAAAATCATTGTCATTATATAATTTTGTTCCCAGATAAACTATCATGCAACATTGAGGGCAAAATAGTGATATTACAAATCATAAAACATGAAAAGTGTTTAGCACCTACAGGCATTCATTAGAAGAACTATTTAAGAATTTATTACGACAAGAAGAAATATGGATTCAGAGGAACAGCATGAGACGAAGGAAACAAAGCATTTATGGGGGGGGGGGAAACACCCTGCATGCCAATCTCCTCCATCCTCAGCCTGCCATGTGAGGGTAACTTTGGACTTTTATGGGGCAATAGAAATTTCCAGTCCATGGAGGGATACAGTCTCCAGGCCCCCAAAAGCAAATTCTTCATTTCCAAGGACAGTGGGTATCCCAGATGAGAGAGGGGAGCCATGGAGACAGGAGATTGGCCTGTGCAGAGAGGCTGGAGGAGAATGGGTCACCAACTGGAGGATATTCAGGAGCAAAGAGCGGTGTGGGCCCCGTCCCTGGGCCCTTCCCTGCCCTGAGGGCCAGGGCAGACACATAAGTAATAATCGAATTGGAACCTGTCATGGCTCCAGAAGTGAGGGCTTTATGCCCCTTCCACTCTATTTTCCAGACCCAGGGGACGCGTGGGCATCAGGGGTCCTTCTCCTCCCCAGTCACACCCCAGCCCACACTGACTCACAGCTGCAGCAAGACTTTCATGCCCAACATGAGGTAGACGCTTGGAGGTTGATTCAACACAGGAAAAAAAGCCCAGTACCCCACCTCAGGGAGACCCAGACAGCCCTGTTCATTTCCTCCTGAGCTGGTTCTTCGAACAGCACCCAGGACCCCAGGACCCCTGGCAGGAGGCATAGGTAACTTTGCCTCCTTTGTTGCCCCTTTTTCTGTGACTCTGTTCTTCTCTGCACTGAGTCACCACTTCTCACAGTCCCTGGAGTACAGACATCATCCTGTTGAACCTGAAGGCCCCTGTTACTCCTGTAGTATGTCAGCCCTGTCATCCTCCCATCTGCTGCACTTAGAGTTTGCCCAGGGACAATGTGCTGGGTGACCAGCTGGGGTGACGTTGCAGACAATTGTAGGTATTAGGGAGCCAGGTGGAAAGGGTGAGGGGCTGGGTGCCTGGGTTTTTATAGTAAGTGCCTCATTCTAAGAACTTTTGGGATTCCCAAGGTAGGTGTGACACCGGGGCTTTAGGCAGAAAGTTTCTGGGACAGATATCAGGTACTGAGCACTTGAGCTGGATGGCCCTGGGCAGGCAGTTCTGGGTTTTGATTTGGACTCCTCCTGGACTCTGACTACCACAGCCTGAGGGCAGACGGTTGTCATCATGTTGTAGGAGAGGAGGTGCCAGGTCCAAGGTCTCAGGCTCCTCTGTTGCTGAAGCAGAATTTGCATGGGGCGCCTGTGAGTCCTGACGGATGCCAGGAGAAAACTCCCTCCTTTGTTGTCTAGTTCTCAGGCCCGTGGAACCCAGACTCCAGCCAATGGAGTCCTGCATCTTGGAACTGGAGGGGCATCTAGACTTTTGGACATTATGTGATTAGACCCCTATCGTAGTAGATGTGGGGAAGCTGAGTCCCAGTTCTAGGTGTAGCTAGTGTGGATGCCAGGGTCAGGGCCCACAGAGGGGCTCCCTGTGCCCTCCACTGATGGCAGCGAGAATGGAAAGAGTACCTGTGTTGTTGGGAAGAAGCAGGAGCCCAGACCAGCCCCGATCCTCAGCCAGCCCCTCCCCACAGTGCTGCTGCCCCCACCCTACCAGCTGCAGGAGGTGGTGGTCCCCATTGTGGGGAATGAAGTCTGTGACCGGCATTACCAGAACTCTTCAAACTACATCGGCCTGATCATCAAGGACGACATGCTGTGTGCTGCGAGTGAGGGCCAGGATTCTTGCCAGGTGAGACCTCTGGCCTGCCACCTGTCCTCTGTCCCCTTCTGGCCCATGGAATGAGACTCAGAAGCTCCATTGCAGTGGCACCTCTGAGTCCTGCCTCTCCCCACAGGGTGACTCTGGGGGCCCACTGGTGTGTAGCTGGAATTGCACCTGGGTCCAGGTAGGGGTCGTGAGCTGGGGAGATATCTGTGGTCATCGTGACTTCCCTGGGGTGTATACCTGAGAGATGAGCTACGTGTCCTGGATCTGGCAGTACATCCCTCTGTGCTTCAGACCCTAGATGAGGCTGGGTGGGGTCTACAGAATGGTGAGAACACTGATCTTCCTGGTGTCTCAGGATTCTGTTTTTCCTGCCAGCGGAGGGTGGGAGGAGGGAAGGGGAGCCCTAGAGGTGAGTCGAGAGTGGGGAAAAAAGTCCCAGATATCGCAGATGACGGCTTGCGATCTGATTCTCATTAAACAGTGTGAGGAAACTGCTTCAAGGCTGCTGTGTGCTGGACTGGTGCATCTGGGGACGGGGCCTGGCATTTTGGTTGGCTGGGCCTGCTAGTTGGGTCCCTGGCACTGGTATCTTCAGGCCAGGCAGAGAGGAGATGGATGGGCCTCGACTTCAAGCACAGGTGCTCTGTGCTCCTCTCTCACCAAGAGTTTCTGCCACAGTGAGGTGTTGTGTCTCAGTTGTGGCTTCAGTCGCAGATT